AGATTCCTACGGTGCACTCCTCTGCCCCTTTGGTAGTGGATTCGTTTTCGAATGCATGAAAGAATGTAGGCTTCTCAGGAGTTGTTAAAAAGGTAAAGGAAGAAGGAAGAGAACAATCAGACAGGTGTCTTCCTTCTTCCAATGGGCCGAGTAGAACTAAGTTGGCAACAAGTTGCCGATGATGACAACATATACATTGTTGATCAAAATTGCTTCTCACTGGAATAAACCCAACTCGAAAAAATGTTCGAAAGTGTCACGAACTTTTGGGACGAACCTGATATTTGGAGTCGTGGTGGCTTATGAATGTGCACTGGCCCATGCAAATTGCGATTGCGAGCGGCGAGGAGGGGGAGGCTGCCTAAGCAGAGAACAACGTTTTTATCTTTTCAGAAGGGAACTAGCTTTTCCTGCAGGCATGGATAGCTCGGTTGGCTCGGGGGTCTGAACCCCAGACCACGCATATGACAAGTGGCGCCACTTGCCACTACACTACCTCCGCTTAACCATAAGTTTAATGTTATTGTACTGTTATATTATATTCTGAGCTCCGAACCCTATTACTATTACTGTTGTTTAAGAACAGAATAATTAGCATAGAACAGGTGAGAGATCCTTTTCAAAGCCTGTCCCAAGTTTTTTCCGCGATTGTATCTCTTTGCTCTTGACCCCACCCCCTCAATGCTTCTCATTTACACAATTTTTTTCAGCATAGTCAATCAGAGACAGATTTCGCGGCTGCATATTGTATGGGCGCTCAATTGTGAAGCTATTGTCGAATGAATGCTCCACTGAAGAAAAAAGCAAAAAAAATATCATGGAGTACACCCTAAATAATGATAGGGTGTACTCCGGACTAAATAATAATAGGGCGGTGATATTGGCCTCTCCGGAAGAGTTTTCCGGAACTGCTCCTTTTACGCGGCCAGAGGAATATCCTCCCACCTCTGGCGCCAGGGTACAGCATCGTTATGTGTGAAATGGTGGTGTCAGTACGATCCCCCGCCCCCTGAAACGAGGTACCGGTACGACCCCTCCCCCTCCATTCGAACGATCTGCCTGCTCGCCGGCCGATGGAGGCTACTGACACCGCACGCCGAGGGAGGCTTCTCGGTCAGCAGGTAAACTGAGGCCCTCAGGACCATCAAATAAAGACAATATAAGTGAAGTCACAACCCCTAGGTGTTGTACAAGACATATCCGGCCATCTCAATTTCGGTAGGTGAAAATGTAAACTATTACATGAATAAACTACATAATTATGTTATAAACACCTAAATAATACAAAATAAAGTAGTTACATACGATTACTGTAAAAATTACCACCAGATCACCTCACATTATGGGAAACCTCCTCGTCAACAGTCAACACCCCATCGTCCCGTATTCTGAGCTTGACTGCTCTTTCAGGAGAAGGGCTCTTGGGAAACGGAAGACAACATGTTAACGTCATCTCTGTACTGTTCCGTTTTCTACCTACTCGCAATCTGTATCTTCCCCGTTCATGAAATATTTCGGATGGGTTACGGATGGGTTAGGGGTGAATCGCGGGCAGGTTTTTATGCTTCAGACGAGAATAACTTCTTTCAAACTCAATCAAACTTAGAATGCCCTCAGAACACATATTACCGTTGAACTGAGTCAAAGCATAATTTGCTTGTCATCGATCGATTTGGTCCGAGTGTGCGCCGTGCATTACGCTTCTACGCAGAGGTGGTGGAAAGGTGTAACTTCTAAGAGGTGATTTTTGTCCAAGCAAGAATATGTTCGTTTAGGATTTGTAAATTCGAACGCACGAATCTGTCTGAGATTTATTATTGATCATCTACGTAATTACGAGTTCGCATTAGGTATTGATATTGCTAACTAACTATTTCAATATTTTACGAACATCTTTACATCCGTGTCCTCTGCTGCTTCCCGTCCAGACAGCGTTGTCACTTTTGTGCTGTTTGGTGCTCACCGACCCTCCGTTTACGACCCCCTCCCCCTTCCCCAGCGGCCAAGTACGACCTCCTCCTCCTATGGGTTTTACACAACGATGCGTACTGGTCATTTCTTCTCCTCATCCAGTGCTAACCGACCTGCAGGAGTCAGTTTAGCGGTGGTCGAAACTCGAGCTAGCCGTGCTCTCTCTAAGGTTAGTTGGTTTGTGCTTGTGAGCTACGAGACCTCCCTAGACGCCTTTAGTCTATGGTGAGCTGCTTTAAGTCTGAAATGGCATTCGGCGGTAGGTCACCTTATCTTTGACTTTCCAGGCTCCGACGAAGGCGACAAGGCCGAAACGTCAGCCAAATAAAGTTGTTAATATCTTGGCTGTGGTTTAAACATCTAATCAGAAGGACCTCACACGATGCCAAGATTCACTTGAAAATCGGTCATGGATGCTGATGAAGGTACTGACATATATTCCATCCAAGGCTTCGCTGAAAAACTCACCGGCAAGCGCACGCGTCGCGTGCTTACTCTTGCGGCAGCAACATATGCATCCAAGAATAAAAGCTGTTGCTGCACATTTGCATTCTCAAGACAATAAACTCCATGTCTTTTTGTCGATGAGCAGTGGGACAAGGGGGGGGAAGGCAAAAAGTAACGAATGATGGCTGATTAACAGCACTAAGATATGGAAAACGGTTGAAGAATTCCAGGAATAGGTGGAAGTTTTCTCAAATATGCTGATTCGCTGCGATCACGATTGTATTAGCCACTGCGTTACCTTCTGATGGGCGCTGCTCGGCGACGGGGGAAGGGGAGGGGGAAAATCTGGCACTTTTGCTGCTTCACTAGTTCCGGTGCACAAGTCCCACTATCTGCGAACTCTTGTGAAGCTGGAGCGCTCGTCGAGTCACCATGACAAAACGTGTCAACTATTGAAAGCTAGGTAAATGGCTCTTTAGATGGGTCGACACCTCGATGGGAAATGGCAAAAGTGCAAAATGCCCCCCGTTGCCGAGCTGTGCCCGATACTATCAATTAACAGTGGTAGCAGCGCTTGTCATTTTCTTGTCCTTTGTCGCATCATCATCATCGCAGCGAAGCCACTCGGCAGGTGCCGAGTGCCCGCCAGAGGTGAAGTGCTCCCCCTTTCCTATCCAGTGGGAGAACCCAGACAAGACAAGGTAACGCGCTGCCGCGTACGCCCCTTCCCCACCCTTGCCTGCCTTTGGTGGACTCTATGCACTACAGATTTGCAAGACAAAGTAGATTTTTTCAGAGCTAAAAGGCAGAAAGAATAGGTACAGGCAAATGGACACAATCAGTAATAATAAGTAAAAAAAACTTTGAAAGAAAGTGGCGCAGTAATTGGCATGACAAAGTTTTGCAAATAAGACATATAGTTGCTAACTCGCATAACTCAATACTAGGGCAATAAAAAATAAGGGGCAGTCCACGGCGGTGGGGGGTGGGAGCAATTTTTCATTTTTGCTACCTCTCATCGACGTGCCGACCCATCTAGAAAGCCATCGTGAGTTACAAGAGTTGACAGGTTTAACCATGGTGGCTCGGCTTGCTCCAGATTCACA